CATGAGAAGGTGTTGTGGATTCCGGGATGAAATCCGGTCTCAAATGAATGACAAACGCAGGAATGAAATATAGCAAATAAATGTATTGACGTAATAATACAATTGGTAATACTGTTAGTAGATCCAGGAATGCGGTTAGTAGCAATAATAATATATATACAGTCTGGGAAATTCAGTATCGAAGTATGACTTCCTTCTGAGTCTACGTGCTCGCAACTGTGACTCCTACAAAGCGGTTACCTCACACTCGACTCTTCCGGTTAGCTACAACCCTTCAGTGTTAGTCCCCGACTCGACTCTGTCACTCACTTGTCTCCGTCACTCTCACTCTCTCCCTACCGGGTATTCACCGGCAGCAGTACAAGTACACACTGGGCGAGTCCACTTGTATAAAAAGGGGTGGACCCCTTAACAGAAGGCTTTGTGTGCAAAAGCTGCCCTAAAGGAACTTCAGGACGTGATGTAAATAGTTACCAAGGTTGCTAATTATATTTCATAACAGAAGTAGCCTGACAAAATGAAACTAGTGGTGCATGCATATCTCTCAAGGTTATTAAACATAGACCCGATATAAAAGGGCCGCCATTAATGATGCAACAGCAGATGAGCCATGAAAATAGATAAAAAAGAGTCAGCAAGTTTTCTGTCTCTAGTTTTATCTGACGTTTTCTTTTGAATGTGCCAAAGGTGCAGGGTTGTTTAAATGTAGTTTTGAAGGTAAATAAAGATCTATTTTTATACATCACAAGCAGTACAGCCCGGCGTTGCCCGGGGATGTAACAGTAAGAGATAGATCAAGTATCGATCATCATAAAGACTGAAAAATAAAATTGACAAAGATTATTGTTTAAGCTTGACGGACACGCCATAATTAGTTTTTTTTTTGTTTTTTTTACGAATTGGTCAAACCCAAACTCAAACAAAAACATTGTTTTCAATCGTTATGAATCTATCGATTGAATAGAATTTTATTATAAACAATTGTCTTGCAAATGGAATTTTTAAAGCATTCTGAATGTAAAAATAAAGAAAAAAGTGTGCAAGACAATAAGAAACACTACCTGCCAAAATAAAGTGATGTTTTGTTGAAATCGGTTGAAAAATGTAGGAAATCCGATCCCATATATAAACGAACACACACACACACACACAAACAAACAACCTGGGTTTTATAATAAATATAACTCGATATGAGTTGTCCCCCTTCCATTCTCGACAGCGATGCCTCTTAATCGTGTTTTCAAATTGATTTCGTGCAAAAACAATTGTGTTTTTCCAATTTTTGGTGCTGTCAGAACCACCGCAAGGTAATTTTACGTAGTCCTGTGAAGTTTTGTTGAAATCGGTTAAAAAATGCAGGAAATCCGATCCAATATATAAACGAAACACACACACACACACACACACACACACACATACACACAACCTGGGTTTTATAGTAAATATGATTTATAAAAGATTTAAAATTAGCAAAATATTATTTTTAGTAACTTTTTACTGTGTTTTAGTCATTATAATGTATAACTGGGAAACAAATGATGATTGATTAATCGAAAAAAAATGACAGTGTTAACCTTTTGTGTTGATGCTAATAATAGTTAATAGTGTCTTTCAATTATGTATGTGTAGCAGTTACATTTACACTTACAGGCTAATAGAAAATACCAAACTTTTTCGTAAAAACCTGTCATAATTTTTTTTTCATTCGGTCACTTTTACATAATTTACACAATTTTTTACAATCCCGTGTTTTTATTGCTCTGTAGTAATTTTTTATCATTTAAAAAATTTCTTCACATACTTAAGAGATATCAAATATGTTCCCAAAATATTGGGGTGGGGTGGCGTGGAAAGGTTTTGTGTCAGAGATTTGGCTCGTTTTGGCACGCACTCTCAAAAAGGTTGCCCACCCCTGGCACTTGATCCAATTTTTTTTTCTATATCCGATGCTCAAATGGCTTGACTGATTTTGAAAAAAAAAAAAAATTGCTGACCTTACTTGACCTTTCCAGGTGGTTTAAATAGTAGGAATATTCCCACTTCAATTAGTGGCTGATGTTTGAGAAGGGTATGAAATAGGATTTAAATGCTGACTTTCACAGCAAACGTTCAATTATCATGTTGTAGGATTGGCGCAACATATTCTTCCTTTTGCTGCATGGTTCTGTGCTAGTCTAAAGCAAATGTCATAAATTGTAATGCTGCCTTTCAACACAAGATGTGTGAAGAAATATCGTTGGTATGAAGAAAGAAAAGCGTCGAAACGCCATAAAATGAGTAATCAATTTCAGCAGTTCCCAAAATACTCCAAATCTTGGTTACAAGAAAAAATAATTAATGAAAATTCTTCTGTCATCCTAATCCTTTTATTGGTTTCTTCCATTAATAATATTTTTCTTCTCATATTCTTTCACATTCAGTAACTCCTTTGGGTATTTAGTGCCTTACTTGGGGTGAAATGAGGAGGCACGGTGGAGTAATGGATAGCGGCTCGGATTGAGGAATCGGAGAGCTGAGTTCGAATTCCAGTCGATTTACTTACGTGCTAATACCCTTGGGAAATGTATGAATCCTATTCTCCCCTCAGCTATGGGTAAATAGCTGCACAGCCTTGGATAGTAACTGGCCCTTCGCAGAAAGAAATGGCAACGTACTGCGGGGAAAATCTGCCTCGTCAGTCATGTATCGAAAGATACATGATCGCCTAAGCATGTATGGCATATAAATGCCTAACTGACTGGTGTGAAATAATTTAAAAAATTGTATCTACCATTATAACATTTGAAAGAAAACATAGAGCTGAATAGTAGTAATAATGAAATGATATAATAATAATAATAATAATAATAATAATAATAATATAGTGGCATTATGAATAATTTTGATATACACCTATCATCACTGTCGCAATAATAATAATAACAACAACAACAAAGAGTTCAGACATAGTCTTTCGATGTGTACATGAAATAAGCTTTAAAAGAAAATTCTGTCTAATAAAAATAAACTTGACATCAGTCAGTTATGTGCCATGCGTGATACACGCTTATGCGATCATGTATCTTTCGATACATGACTGACGAGGCAAATTTTTTTTCCCGCAGTAAGCTGCCACTTCTTTCTGCAGTAGACCAGTTGCCATACAAGGTTACAGTACTTGGTCTGTCCTGTTATTTACCCATTGCTAGTGGATGGGGAGAAGAAGAGGATTCATACCTTTCCCAAGGGTATTAGCACGTAAGTGAATGTAATGGATTCGACTGGAATTCGAACTCGTCTCTCCGATTCCTCAATTCGAGCCGCTATCCATTAATCCACCATGCGCAATATCATAAATTATAGTGAGTCAGAGATAGTCTTTCAATATGTACATGAATTAGACTTTTGTAAAACAAAAACAATTTTCATATACAATATTAATGATAATAAGATTCCTTCCAAAAACTTAGCAAACTATAAACAAAACAGAAAAGCTTCATTGGAGACAAAGAAAAGAGTTCTAAATGGTTATGTAATCACTGGTTATTTCATCCAAAAACGGAGATGATAAAGAAAAGTATTTTGATGTAAATAGTTTTAAAAAGTGTCCGCAGTACATTATGAAAAAGTAATAGTCACTCATCAATATCTGATTGAAATTACTCTAACCACTATTGCTACTGACGCCGTCACTGGCTACAATGATTTTTGCTAGAATCGCAGACAACGATCTTGCTATTCCTGACTGCCAACCTCACTTTCATCTCAAATCTCAATAATTGCACTTCCACCTCTTTCGATATGGCCTTTCCATACTCAGGATATCTGTAACTTTAACATTATCAATACAAAACTTTAACATTATCAATACAAAAATATCAACCTCCACAACGGCGATACTGATATCCCCCCACCCCCAATAACAATCAACAATGGTATCGTCATTCTTGTCACAGCTTCTCTTGACTCCTCCTTTTTTTTCTCGTTACAGTTGCAATAGAAAATGCTTTCAACGCCTGCACACCCATGAGGATTTGCGCAATCTCAAGGACGGAGGATAGGCACTATCGTCAATGACCGTCCCTCTTGCAGCCGGGATGATCGTCGACTGCCGAAGCAATTGACGTGAAAGGGAAGGCGGTCATTGTCATTCAATAGCTTATGTGATTGGATCGCTGAGTGTCAGACACAGACAAGGCAGTTAAAAAAAAAAAAAACACCAAAAAACGTAAAAATGGCGATAAGTTTCTGCTCGCTGATTGGTCGGTTGCTGAAACGTCTGCGTCCGTCTCGGATGATTCTCTTTGATCCAACAAAAGCGACCACAAAACGATATCTCAACGGACGGACGGATGAACGCCGCCAGCCGAACAGAGTGCAAGGGCTAGAGTCGGGGTGGTGAGGTGGGGGTTGCAGATTGGGCATTATGGATAAGAAAATATTGAGAGGACGGTGATTAGTGGGGGAGGGTGGAAATGTGTTGAGGCTGTGTGATCGGCAAAAGAAGGGACAAGAGAAAGCGGACTGGCCAACCAAAGAGGGGACCCCAACGAACTTTCAGTGAGACGAAGCAACTCCTTCTAACGTCCATTTATCAATCGGCCAGATTTTCTGTTGTTGGGAAAATGGAGGGTGAAAGTGACATGTTTGATGGCAAAGGAAAATCGCAGGAAAGAAAACGAAAAAAAAAGTGAAAGAGAAAGACAAATAAAGAGAAGGAAAAAAAAAGAAAAAAAGAAAATGGCAGGAAGATAAGGAAGAAGGAGGATGGAACAAAAAGGAAAAGAACAGAAAGAAAAAAAAGAAGAAAATAAGTTTAAAAAAAAGACAAAAATATCTGTAAGAAAAAAATGTTTATAGGAAAAAAAACACCGCGTGTGCGTTACGTGCGCGCAAATGAGTACAAAAAAAAAATAAAAGAAAAAACTATAACTTTTAGAAAGGATTGAATGTTATTGAAAAAGTAGTGGGTGGGGAGAAATAACAATTTCAAAGAATGGCGAAAACATTTCTTCCGGGATTCAAACGGGAAGAGGTGGAGATGGCATGTTCAAAGAACTAGTGTTGATGCACACACGTGTGTATATAAATGCTGCACGGAAAAAGAAAAAGAAAAGTACTGAAAGAAAGAATAGAGAAAAGATGAGGAATATAAAAAGATTAAAAAGAAAAAAAAAACTAGAAAATAGAAAGAGAAATAAAGGCTTTTGCGCTGATCAGTAAATGAATACATATGCATGCGTGTCTATAGATGTTTGCATATCATTATATACATTAATATATTTGCAACGCATTTTACCATGTGTTGGAATATGGTTGTGTATTTGGAAGGAAGAATAAGAGACAGATGGAGTATCTGTATAGATGTGTATGTATGTATGCATGTATATAAATATATATGTACAATACAAATAATGAGAGAGAAGGAAGGAACCTGGTATTAGTGTAAGAGATAGAAAACATGGAAGAAGATGGGGTTGAGAATTCAGATTGCCTTTGATAGAGTATTTATTTAGAAAAGAGAAAGACGAACATGAAAGAACTGCTGAGAGGTTAAATGATTCCAGTATACCGGAAATATTTCACTATTAGCTACAAATCACAAAGACAAAAAAAAAACAAATACAAACTGTGTGATAATGACTTCTTTTGGATCTGGCATCGTCACGTTGGCGCATAGTCTCGTTTCATCTAATCTCGTTTAATTGATAAGCTGAAATAGAGAATAAAGGCTGAACATCAAATCGATTTGCACAGACTACTTTTTTCCAGTAGTTACTTTTTTCTGTTAATTTATCTGAATTTCTGGAATGAGTAGCTATCAGCATTCACACTTTTTACATGCAGTCTATTTTCCTCGTCTTTGTTGTTGTTATAACAACGTTTTAACTAGTGTGTCCTTCACGGAATTTCGAACGAAGCCCTTTATTCAATCTACATAGATTGTTCTCGTTCCGCTGACCATGTCTCGGGATATCTCGTTTAGTTCATACTTAGTTCAGTTCAATAATCCATCTGCACTGCCCAGCTCAGGAATTGAACTCACACTTACTATTCACAAACCAACGATTTTATCCAGTAGGCTAGTGTCCCGTGGGACAATCCTGAGTGTAGAATAGAGAATTAAACTTAATCTGCGTGCTGCTGAGGCTCTACCGATGCTGAGCTTTTAGACGCTTAACTGCTTTCCCTGAAACCTCTCTTTTCGATTGCTGCTATTGAGGTCTTGTTATTCCTCTTTCTTTGTTTATTAGTAGCTCCTATATCGTATTTACTTCTATGTTAGGTCTAAGAAGCAGGTCATCAAGGCCTAGTACCAGCGCTGATTAATTCAGACATCTGATTATCCAGTGTTCTTCTCTATAGTATTTTTACTTAATTCAAAGGGGGTTACCGACTGCCCTTTTCTTCTATACACGATCAGTTATGCATGATTTCATTATCTGGTCATCATTTATGCAGAAAAAAAGGTAATCCCACCCTATTTGTAATTCACAAATAAAAATAGCGTATATGATTAGATGCTGTCAAAGGCAGTGGCTGTAACGATTAAAATAAAATGCTTTCAGAAAGTCACAAAGATCGGGGACTCGAGGGATCTAAAGAATAAAATGTTTTTGAAATGTGGGAGTACCACTGATCAAATCGCATGGTTTTCAAATAGGCACATTAAAAAAGTATGAAACCTTTTTAAATAGGCCATTAGAAAAGAATTAAAACTTTTCGATGGCTTATTAATTAATTAGCTCATTCAAAAACATAATTACAACAACATGAATTTGAAATAATTACTCTGTGAAATTAGAGAGAAGTAACTGATATTTTCAATTTAATGAAAAGTTGTTTTTTTTTTTTGTTTTGTCACAAACCAAAATTTTAGCAAAATATCACTTCGTTTCATTTATAATTTCATCCGTGCTTTCTCACTAAATATTTTCTTGGATGCATTTACCCTGTTATGGAAACCGTTTTTTCAAAAAATACCCTGTTTCTTGACGTACTCTTCTTTTCCTACTACGAGATGACCTGTCATATATATATATATATATATATATATATATATATATATATATAGATAGATAGATAGATAGATAGATAGATAGAACAAACATAGATAGAAGAAACATAGATAGATAGATAGATAGATAGATAGATAGATAGATCGATAGATGTGAACAAACATAGATAGATAGATAGATAGATAGATAGATAGATAGATAGATAGATGTGAACAAACATAGATAGATAGATAGACAGATAGATAGATAGATAGATGTGAACAAACATAGATAGGTGTGAACAAACATAGATAGATAGATGTGAACAAACATAGATAGATAGATAGATAGATAGATAGATAGATAGATAGATAGAATATGAACAAACATAGATAGATAGATACATAGATAGATAGATACATAGATAGATAGATAGAATATGAACAAACATAGATAGATAGATACATAGATAGATGGATAGAATATGAACAAACATAGATAGATAGATAGATAGATAGATAGATAGAATAAACATGAATAAATATATATATATATATATATATATATATATATATATATATATATATAGATAGATAGATAGATAGAATAGAACAAACATAGAATATGAACAAACATAGATAGATAGATAGATAGATAGATAGATAGATAGATAGATAGATAGATCTACTATTCTCTTCCTACTAGAAGACATGCTTTTCCAAACACATTTCAGTTTTCAAATTTGTTTTTTTTTTCAATAATACTCCTGCCCGAACTACTGAACAGGAACAAAGAAATTCTTGTCAAAACTTAAATTAATATTTATTTAATAGATTTTCATACTGTACTGTATGTGTCGTTATAGTTACGCCATCCTCTTTCCTGTTTAATAATTCATAGGTAAATATGAAGAGACTAGTATATATATTTGTTACACTTTGGTTCAAGGCTACAATCATGTGGTACTTTATGATGGCTCTAGTATACAAGGCTTTTCTGATAACCGCGTCTTTTCAGTTGGTATTCGTGATATCTGCATAGTTAAGCAGTCACAGACAATGGTTTGTAGAACTATTGCTATGACATGGGCGCTCAGTCTATTAAAAGATAGATTGATAGATAGATATGAACGGTCATAGATAGATAGATAGATAGATAGATAGTGAACATAGATATGAACAGTCATAGATAGATACAAAACATGAGATAGATAGATAGATATGAACAGTCATATATATATAGTGATTTTCCAAGCGTAGCTTAGATGTGGCACAAGGCCGAAATTAAGGGGCACCTAGTGAGGAACGAACTCACTACTCAGTCGTAATTATTCTAGCGAGATAAGCATTAGCCATTACACCGCCTCGAGGTGACCAGTCATATATATATATATATATATATATATATATATATATATATATATATATATATATTGATTGATTCTAACCACTCGAACACGTGCACATAGCACGTGTCCGAGTGGTTAGAACGTTTGCATTCTGAACATGAGAATCTCACAATAATCGATTTGTTATCAATGTTATTGGACTGAAGAGGTCGATCCCAGGTACCTTTGGAAAGTGCCTCAAAACCAAACAGGTTGACCTAAGCCTTGTGAGTGAAATTGGCTAGAGTGTAATTGGGTGCCGTCGATAACTGTGCTAGCAAGAAGTCACAAGTCATCGTGGCCGATGGCTTGAGCGTACTAGCCTTGTTCAAATTGTTGATCCCGCTAGATAACATGCTCTTTCCCAGAAATTGTAACTAAAGTCTGCTCAGCATAGTGGGTTCCGTGGGTGTTGAATATACACAAATACGCCTGAGCAAGCGTCTGCAATAGGGATTGGCTAGCCCCCCCCCCCGTAGACGAGTATCCTCGAATACGAATGGCCAGCTATACATACATACAGATAGATAGATAGAAGAGAAAGAGAGAGAGAGAGAGGTAGAAAGTGAGAAGTCATCCTAGGGTTTATTTAAAATAAGCATGAAAAGGGTGTGGTTTTTACGAATAAATAGAATTTAGGATAAATTTAGTGAATTTAGGGAAAAAAATAATAATAGGAACATAATTTTTGAAAATGCGAGGTGTGGTGGGGGTACTGAAAAGTTCTTGGCTCCAACCAATTTTCCCAAATCTGACTAAATGACTAAACATAAGAATCTTTTTTTAATTCTATTCTTGATAAAACCGAGAATTTTTCGGGCCTACCTCTTATAATATATATAATTAGCTATCTAAAAAAAAAAACAAACCCAGATATATATGGTTTAAAATGCATTTTAAAAATGAAAAATCTTTCTTGAGGCTTTTATTTTGGTTTTAATTCCAATAGATGAAAGAAGTATTTCCAATAAGCAAAATACTTTGTTGGATTTTATACAGAATTCAAATTAATAGAAAACAGAATTTAAATTGATTTTTTTTATCAGTAAAATTAATAAAATCGTCCATATTGACAAATCTGTCAACACAACATAATTCTCTTTATTAAAAAATCTTTCAAAAATAAAATATTCTTTTCTGAAACGTTATTTAAGAAGAATTAATTTATTTAAATTTTTAGTAATCTGAATTGAAATATATATTACTTACTTTTTATCTATTACTTATGATAATAATGATATCTACAGCCTGATGTTTGGCTAATTTTTGTAAAGGAGAAATAATTTTAATGAAATTACATGTCAAATACAACGTAAACGCCGTTTTATGTCAATTTTTTAATATCCCAGTAAACTTTAGAATTTATAATATCTTAAGCATTCTAATATTTTTATTGAATTTTACGTACTTTGGTTTAATATATTTAATTACGAAGACGTTTTTTGAGAAAATGTTAGAAAATTACCAATGAATTTTATATTTATTGTAGTTACCACTCATATTTTCAGATAATGTCGTGTAAGGACGAACGTATTTATAAAACTTGTTATGAAATGGACAAAGTCCGACAATTATTTTAAGACATTTTTTATGTTTATATGTTCTTTTTATAGATACAAATATTTAAGTAAATGCTCTGCTTATAATAAACAGTATTAACGACATTTACCGGCCTGAGTGTCCGAGAAATTTTCATAGAAAATTTGCGTCCTCCGACAAGAATCGAACCTGTATCCTATATGGAACCGTCATATAGCCTGACGTACAGAGGACGCATAGAATTGTAATAATCTTTTGTAATAATGATTAATAAATGCAGTTTTTTTCTACTAACAATATCACCTGACTGAAAAAAAAAATTAATATAAGACATTTCAAAGATTTAAAAGTTTATAAATTATTCTAAATACATTTTTTAAATGGAAACACATCGTGTAAAAATTCATTATTCATGGAAATTTATTTTTTATGAGACAATAGCCTTCATAATATATTTATTCATGAAGCAATTAAAAGCTTTTCTAATTAAATAAGGACTTAGTTTTATTGCATTTTTATTTTACGATTCAGAGCTGATTTTCTATAACTGGGCGTCCTGTTTAATCAACAATATTTGATGATTTAATTTCTTCGAGGTCCTTAATAATTAATATAGGCATTATACCCTACAAAAAAAGAAATACTCAAAATTTCATAAAATTAAGCTAGTGGAGGGCAACGTATGTAAAAAAAAATATTTTTGCACAAATTTTCTAAAAAAGAAACATTTTAAAAAAATAATTTGATTCAATAAGTCGTGAAAGTTACATTAAAATCCGACAATTATCTGATTTTGGCAAGATTCATTTTCTTTTTCATCACAAAAGATGTTTGTTCATCTATCTATCTATCTATCTATCTATATATATATATATATATATATATATATATATATATATATATATATATATATATACACATCTATCTATCTATCTATCTATCTATCTATCTATCTCAGTTTGTTCACATTATCTATCTATCTATCTATCTATCTATCTCAGTTTGTTCACATCTATCTATCTATCTATCTATCTATCTATCTATCTATCTATCTCAGTTTGTTCACATTATCTATCTATCTATCTATCTATCTCAGTTTGTTCACATCTATCTATCTATCTATCTATCTATCTATCTATCTCAGTTTGTTCACATTATCTATCTATCTATCTATCTATCTATCTCAGTTTGTTCACATCTATCTATCTATCTATCTATCTATCTATCTCAGTTTGTTCACATTATCTATCTATCTATCTATCTCAGTTTGTTCACATCTATCTATCTATCTATCTATCTATCTATCTATCTCAGTTTGTTCACATTATCTATCTATCTATCTATCTCAGTTTGTTCACATCTATCTATCTATCTATCTATCTATCTATCTATCTATCTATCTATCTATCTATCTCAGTTTGTTCACATCTATCTATCTATCTATCTATCTATCTATCTATCTATCTATCTATCTATCTATGTTTGTTCACATCTGTCTATGTTCATATCTACCTATGTATGTTTGTTCACATCTATCTATCTATCTATCTATCTATCTATCTATCTATGTTTGTTCATAACTATGTCCCTATCCATATATTTATGTTTGTTCACATCTATCTATCTATCTATCTATCTATCTTTTACTAGACTGAGCGCCCATGTCAGAGCAATAGTTCTACTAACCATTGTCTGTGACTGCTTAACTATACAGATATCACGAATGCCAACTGAAAAGACGCGATTATCAGAAAAGCCTTGTATACTAGAGCCATCATAAAGTACCACATGATTGTAGCCTTGAACCAAAGTGAAACAAATATATATACTAGTCTCTTCATATTTACCTATGAATTATTAAACAGGAAGGAGGATGGCGTAAAAAAATAAAGTTATAAATTTTTTAAAGTGCACACGAACTTTATGAACACCCTGTATATATATATATATATATATATATATATATATATATATATATATATATATATAGCGTCGTGTAAGATGTTTTCCTTTAGTCTTTATTCATATTCTCCTTTTACAGATATGCTCTATCTTAATTTTTTAGTATAAATATATGAAGATTGCGTCAGCATGAAACTCGGGTTACGACTACGTCCATCCTTCCATAGGATTTAACGCAGATAAGAGTTATTTTTTTGTTTTTTGCTCTGTCTAGGCAATGTAGACTTCGAGCACTTTATTGAGTTGGCAGGTTTATTCTTTTTTCAGTATTGCTATTTTTGTTCGAGACTTTATCTGGAAAGGAGCTTTAGGTTTTGGCAAGTTGTTCGTTAGTTTCATCAGTGTTTTTTTTTTTGTTTTTTTTTAATATTTATATATACAATACAATGATTGGAATTTTATTGAAATGTTACACCCTTTCTAATAAACTATAAAATTTTTTTGGCAGTCTTCCTCAGTGTGTTGTCTGTTGAAAACATGTGAATAACCGGATACAATTCTAAAAAGAAATAAGTTTCATTATATTAGATTTGTAAATATGTCCTTTTTATTAAGGGGTTAGTAAAGAGAGGAGAGAAAAAAAGAGAGGAAGAGAAAAAAAAAGAGAGAGAGAGAGAGAGAGAAAGAGTAAAAAGAATGAGGATAAAGGAAACAAAGAGAGAAAGTAAAAAAGAAGATAAAAACAAAAATGAATGATGAAGGAAAAGGGAAGAAAAAGACAGAGAAAAAGTTAATTTCGAAAATGAACGAGTGTCCGGGTATGACAAATAAAAAGAAGGGAAACTGCAGCAGCAGCAGCAGCAAGAGTGGGAAAAAACTGCATCGAAAGAAAATGAACTTCATAAAAGAAAGAAAGAAAGAAATTTGTAAAGAAAGAAGGAAAGAAAGAATTAAAGAAAAAAAAAAGAAAAAAGAATAAATAAATAAATAAAGAAAGAAAGAAAGAAAGAAAGAAAAAAGAAAGAAGAAAAAATAAAGAAAGAATTAAATAAAGAAAAGGAAAGAAATAAGAATAAAGAAAGAAAGAAAAAGAAAAAAGAAAGAAGAAATAAATAAAGAAATAATTAGATAGAAAAGAAAGAAGAATAAATAAAGAAATATAGAAATAAAGAAAGAAATAAAGAAAGAAAAAGAAAGAAATAAAGAACGAATAAAGAAATAATTGAATAAAGAAAAAAGAAAGATAGAATAAAAGAAAGAAAAAGAAGAAAGAAAGAAAGAAAGAAAAGAAAAAAGTAAATAAATAAGTAAATAAATAAGTAAATAAATAAAGAAAGATAGAATGAAAAAAGAAAAGA